CATGAGTAATTCTAGTGAACATGATAGAACTACTCATCTGAGTAAGGTTCTGCATGTGCTTAAAGTTTTTGCTTGATCAGGGCCCAAGTTGCAAATACCTAGGCTCCCTAAAACCACACGTGCAAATCCCAGCAGGGTGAATTCAACTTTTCACCTTCAACTTCCAAGTCAGATACAATTTACAGTCTGGTAGATTTCTGGATGGAACCTTAGAAGGCTATCTGCTGTTTGCTCCATGGCACTATTATAGAAGCATGGTATATATAATATGGATAGAAATGTGTCTTGGCTTGTTAGGTCAAAAAATATTTCTCTTGTCTGCGTGTGTGCCATTTGGCTGTTGCACTCCACACCAGATGGGGTTGCATTTAATAGTGTTGGTGTATAATTTGTGGTGTACTTTGTGATCTTTTGAGAATACGTATACTCTCTTAAATTATTACTTGTATTAGGCCAAATCCTGAGATCTTTACTCAGTTGGGGGGGGGGGTTTCAAAAGTGCTCACTCTTAGCCTTATTTTACAATAGATTTCAATGGGAGCAGTCAGGTCAACACTAAGTGCTTACCAAAATCCCACCCAATTTCTACTCTGTCCTTGGCCAGGCAAACTCCCATTGCTGGCAAGTCCCTTACCCCAGGATTCAGCCCATTATTTGATATGGGCCCTGAAATTAGAATTTAAATGCTGGGCCAGATCCTCAGCTGCTGTAAATAAAACTAGCTCCTCTGAAGTCAATGGAACTCCACCAATACGCGTCAGCTGTAGCTCTGTCCCACAGGATTTTTAAGGATACTCATTTGTTAAAAGGGTGAGATATATAAAACAAATTGAAGTGGTAAAGTACTGAAATATCAGGCAGCTTAAATACTCACAGGCAATCAGTTAAACCAGCTAATATCCAAAGAAGTGTATGTAAGTATCATAGATTCCTCTCCCCAACAGTTTGATATCAGGTGTGAATGCCACAGAAGTTAATGGGATTTTTGTCACTGACTTCAATGGGGCCATGATTCACCCTATACAACTCACCGTTGTGAAGAATCCTGATGCTCTCTAGAACTCTCAAGGTTGTCCTTCAATGGTAGTCCCCATTTGCTTGTGCAAGAATCAGAAAATGTTTTCACTATCCTTTGGTGTCTGGTTTTCAGGATCGGGACATCTGTCTATAATGGACTGTTCATTTCTTGGGTAATGTGACTCAAGGAGTGATATCCTGGTCCAGAATAAGTCAAATGCCCCCGGAATCAGCAAGTGCAATTTCCATGGAGGAGCATAGTCAGCATTGATTGAGGTGATGTAAATTACATGGTATAATTTTGAAGTCAGTGCAGTTTTGCTAGTTTACACCAGCTGAGGATCTGGCCTTTCATGCACAAATGGCCTATCTCAGTCATGCAGAAATCTTTTATTTTCTGGAGCAGTTAACTACCCTTTTGCCCTAAGACGTCAAGTAATTTCTAGCTATTTAATTCTCAGATGGGAGAAAAATGGGAGAAAAATAAAATTAAAGAAGAAATTAGAGGGGGAAGTTTTATCATAGGTCATTGTCAGGTGTGTGGGACCAAAATAAATTATTGTTAAAAAAAAAAAAAGACCCTGAAAAACTGTCTGGAGTTATTCCAAACATTATCTCATTGAAAGCCAGCTTCGCATCTGTGCCATAGGAAGAAGAAGAAAGACCCACAACATTATAGAGAGATGAAAGGAAAGCAGTGAAAAGAAAATGCTGCCATTGCTTTTACTCCCTATTTTGACTCTCCTTCCAAGGAACATTAATTCAGACATTTAGAATGTAGCACAGACATTAGGGCCGACTATAGTGGGGAGGAGAAAGGCTGTGACTCCCATCCTCTGGGCAATTAGAAGTAAAGGTTCCATCTTGTCTGCAATTTCAGATGTTCTACTGAAAAATCCACAAGATCTAATGTAATAAAATCATAAATCTGATGCCCTGGCATCCTGCCTATGCATTTAGGAGCCTGTTCAGGAAGACATTTCACCTTACACAAACAAAGTCTTCTGAGATTTCTGGTTCCCCCCTGCTGCCATCATGAGTGCAACCACAGTGGGACGTGGTATGCCACACTGTTCAGCACTCCAATAAACCATACACTCTCCCAGTTGCTGCTCTCCCAGGCTGATGTCATGGTGTCCAAACGCCTTCCTTTATTTGAGAAGCCTGCCCGGTTTTGTAAAAGGGAGGGGAAAATGTACTCTGTGGTCAACAATGTGAAATGATTTATAATAATGTTTCAGTGACTTGAGCTGGGTGTTTCTTCTTTCGGAAAAACTTACTCTCAGAAAACTGTATACATTTAAATGATAAAAAGTAGGCTTTGACGTAACAGAGCACTCAGTTAAGATGAATGGGCTGAGGTCACACTTTTGTGTGTGTTTTATTGTTTCAGTCTGTCTGACTTGCAGAACAAACAAGGCAGCAGAGTGCTAATTTACAGGCGGAAGGTTATCTTCCTAACCAGGAAGAGCCAAATGTATTTCTGAGACATAAAATCAGATTCTGCAACACATAAAATCTGTGGAATCTGCTGCTGATTTCCTGCCTTCACAGATTTCTTTTTTGCAGTTGGCAGCAGCTTAAAGCAGTACAAATCAAATGAGGTTTGAGACTGTTTGTAGTAATGCATCCCAAATGCTAAGTGTACAGTTGTCTGGAGTAATAAGAAAATCCAGAGAGAAAAATGGGAAAAATTAGTAGACTGTCTTTAGATAACATGTTTTAGACTAGTTTTTATTTAATCGTAATCTTCCTGTGGCACTGAATGCTCAGGGTGTTGATAATTGGATATATGGATTTTTACCTGCAGGTTAATTGTTGGAATCTGGCCCAGGTTACCAAAATATAGTGGTAGTGACCAAATATAGGGTACCAACCATCAGAGTTGGTACCCTATATTCCCCGTTTCTCCAAATCTGAGTATAGCATTCAGCTCTCCAGGTGGATGTACATTGGTGCCCTCATCTATATACATCTAGCAAGCAGGTGTTTCAGCTGGGATTTCTGATCTAGTGAGCCATATTGAAGGGATCACGCACCTAAGTATCCTAGAAAAAAAAGAGTACCATAAAAATTCTTTATATAATAGACTCAATGTTTGATAACTACACCCCCCAGTCCTCCTTTTTGCTACAGCCCAATTCTGTTTCAATATCTTTCTAAATCAGCTGTGGTGTAGATTGTTGTTTGAGCACATGCTCAGCTCTGTACATGCATATAAGGAAGCACTCGTGCCTCAAGGAACTTACAATCTAGTTGAGACCCAGACAATACAGTACACCTGACAATACAGTACACAGGAGAGATCATTTCTGTGTAAGAATTTTTTCTGGATGGATTTGAAGGAAGAGCGACTGTGCCATATGTCAGAACAGGAAGACCATAAACAATTAAGAGCCATTAAACAACTAAGGATTGCAGACCATAATAACACTCTGTGCCAAGGAGGCTAAAGGAGTAGCTGACATAGGGCTGGCTAGCTATGCTAGCTTTGTGGCCACTTTGCACCTCAGGAGCAGTGCAAAGGGGCTGGAACAGAGTCAAGGATCTGGGCCATTGTCTAAATGTAAAGATACTCAGCTCTAAGGCTGGTTTAAAACAAACATGTCAGGAAAATGTCTTCAGATGAATGCCATTGAAGAAAGCATTCAGCCTTACTATTCATTTCTTCAGTTGCATTCTATCCTTGAGATCTACAGATCCAGACAACATCCTGACAAACATTGAGCTATGGCATCATGAAAAGCAGTGTTATATTTAAGGACTTGAGTAATTGATTTCTCTTTCGCATGTCACCATCACCGACTGATAGTAGGTCTATCACAGATGAGCCAAAAGTCTTCCCTAAATTGTAATTCTCCCTTGCAAGATTACATGGGCATGGAGAGGAAAATGAAGGGAAGATGCCATAAGATGAAATTCACTTGTGTCCAGAAAGCCAGCCGAAGATCTGTGTACCACTTAGGTTTTTTTATGAAAGCTTCAATGTGGGACTGAACGAGTGTGCTCTGGCCTTGTGCTGACTTTCTGAATGCGTTGCCATCATGTTTCCTTTCACACAGATCTGTTTCTGTTTATCTCTAGAAGAAAATATTCTTGAGATTAGTTTTAAGTGTTGTATAAACATAATTGCAAATATTATTGGAAAGTGACAAAAGTCTTTAAAAAAAAGTCTAGCTCAGTTATTTATTAGCACTTTCCCAGAGTACAGTGTCAGCACAGACAATATTTGAAATGAATGTTGTATTTGATTAGACTGATTGATTGTTCTCACCGCTGAGGATTTAGCATTCATTAGTCATACTAACCAGTCATTAGTACTGCCTTTATCAGCAAGCAAAGAATAAACAGAAATTCTAATAAAAATTCATCACAGTGAAGGTACTCCATACCTAAGCAAGTTTTATGACTGTCAGTGTATTAGATTAGCTGTTATAACATTGGCAGCATAAAAGTTTCTGTTATAAAAAGTTTAAAATCCTTTAATGGTTGTTTACTTTTAATCTAGACTCTTTTAAATTTAAGTAGGCTAAACAGATAATCTCTCTCAAATCCAATATAATAAAATGCTAATAGTTATTTTTTACCTACTGATATATTTGTATGGGATCCCTTTTAGCTATTAGTCTCGAGGTTTCTTAAGCAAGTTGTACTAACCTGATTTATCAAAAACAATCTTTATTGGAGAGAAATCAAAATCCTGTATCACAGGTTTTCAATCAAAGAGCAAATGTATTCTGGTATATACAGAAAAAGTACAAAAATGGAGACCATGTTTACATTTAATTGATTTCACTCTCATATGTCCATTTTAACTTTACATAATACATAACTCATTGGTATTTATATAATAGTGGTAAGTGCTCCAAAGAAATAAGCACTTACATTGAACACATGTAAATTAAAGGCAGTGAATTTATCCTTATTTCTCTAGAATGTTTTTTAATGTATAATTATTTTTTATCTTTGTAATTTTTTTACAGGAGCCCCTGAATATTATTGATCCTGGTTTGATGGACCTAAATGGTCCAAATGAAGATGCATTAGAATGGGATGAAACTGATATAAGTCATAAGCTGATTAGCATTAATGAAGAATTAAATGAACTCGATCAAGAACAAAAGCAGGATCATCCAAAACAGAAATCTGCTTTAGAAGAATGTGGTGGTAATGACTTGAATCAAGAAGAACATATCAGTGATCATGAAACTCCTCTGTATTGTTCCAGCATTACATCACCTCCTAGCCCTCACATTTACCAAGTCTATAGCCTCCACAATGTAGAGTTATCAGGAAAAAAACATATACCTTTCTTGAAAAAGACTTCAAACTTCCCCAGTGTAACACAGTCTAATATTTTAAATAAAAGTCTTAAGGACTCCCCATTTTCCTCTACTAAATCTCTGCCAGACCAAATAGGCAGGACTACTTTGGCAAAACCATTCAATTATATGTACCATAGTGGAAACATAAGCAGACATTCTGAGAGTGAAAGCGGAATAGTCAGTGAAGGTGATACAGAAACTTCAAACGATTCTGAAATCTTTTTGATAAATGATATTGAAGGAACCCAGAGTAATCCTGAAATTGGGCCTCTGGAAGCCCACATGAGTGACATAGTTCATGTGATAAAACAAAAAATTAAACAAGAAGACGACGACCATATTACACTTTCAGATAATTGTCACTCAACTTCTTCTTCATGTTGTGCAAGTGGAAAAGAGGGAGATCTAAATGGTGCTACCCAACATACCTCTGATTGTTTGGAAGAAGAATTACAAGGAAAACATGATGTGTTTACATTTTATGATTACTCTTACCTCCAAGGCACCAAACTCAAATTGCCAGTGATGATGAAACAATCACAAACTGATAAAGCATGTACAGAGGGCACTTTACTTCATGGTTTTTATTTTGATAAAATACCCTGTAAAGCTGAAATTCAATCTGCAGAGTTACAACCAGATGAGTTTATGCATGAACTTACTTTGGCAAGTGTCTCCAGGGAATCAGATCCCACTTCCTGCAAATCTGTGGAGGATTCTAGGAAATTAACTGATATACAGAATGCAAAACAGGTTTCACGTTTATCTCATAGCTCTTCATTAGAATCTCTTTCTGTGGCAGGTGATTTGTTTGGCTCAAGTATTTTTAAAGCTGGTGATGGTCTTCAGCGAAGCGCATCTTTGGAAAGCTGGTTAACTTCATACAAAAGCAATGAAGATCTTTTTAGTCATCATGGCTCAGGAGACATAAGTGCAAGCAGTGATTCTGTTGGAGAACTCAGCAAAAGGACATTAGACCTCCTGAATCGTTTAGAGAATATCCAGAGCCCCTTAGATCATAAGATAAAGCGCAGCATTTCTGATATCACACTCCAAAGTAGCTCACAAAAAATGTCATTAGCCGGACAGTTAGCATTAGATATTGCATCCTCAATCAATGAAGATTCAGCTGCTTCTCTCACTGAACTCAGCAGCAGTGAGGACCTTTCTCTTTGCTCTGAGGACATTGTATTGCATAGAAATAAAGTGCCAGATTCAAATGCATCATTTAGGAAACATCTTAATCGGTCAGTAGCTGATGAGAGCGATGTCAATGTCAGCATGATTGTTAATGTCTCCTGCACTTCTGCTTGCACTGATGATGAAGATGACAGTGATTTGCTTTCAAGTTCTACCCTGACCTTGACAGAGGAGGAGCTGGGCATCAAAGATGAAGATGACGACTCTAGTATTGCAACTGATGATGATATTTATGAAGAGTGCAATTTAATTTCTGGACTTGATTACATAAAGAATGAACTCCAGACTTGGATTAGACCAAAATTTTCTTTGACAAGGGAGAAGAGAAGATGCAACCTCAGTGATGAAATTCAGTGCAGTAAAGATGTAAGTAGCAATGAGACATCAAAAGCAATAGATACATTGAGCACTGAAACACTTCTGAATGGTTCAGTATATAAGCTACCGGAAAATAATGGCAACAGTAAAAACGTATCAGATGGTCATGAGCTGGGGACAAAAAGTCAGACTATAAAGGATAGTTCTCAGGCTGCTAAAGATCAGTTTGTGGATGACATGGAGAATGGAAATGTTGAAAATACTCCAGACAGTCAAAAGGAAGAGCTTATTAGAACTTCATCCACTCCCAAAAATGTTGGCTTACTTGATGGTAAGGGAGCTGAAAACGAATGTTGCATCTGCGAAGCGTTTACAGATAGTTCAGATGATTCACATATGGATGGTAAGGAGACCGTTCAACCATCAAATATATCCACAAGTCTTCTACAAGAATGTCAAAATCATCTTCAATCTGACGATCATTGCATTGCTTATACTCCCATTAGAAAGCCTTGTATGGAGCCTGCATCAGAAATGAGAGGTATAGATACACAAGATACTTCTTTACTAAAATATTTACCTAATGATCAACAAAGCAGAACAAGCACTATTGAAAAACCTACCGATTGCTGTGTAACTTTTAAACCAAATGAAGCAGAAGAGAACACCTCAGCAAGTGGTAGTGATTCATGTTGCAACTGTGAATCTGTTGCTTTCGATAAACGAAATGTGGAAGATTGCTCAGTGCACAACTTTGTGATGGAGATAATTGACATGGCATCAACAGCCTTGAAGAGTAAATCACAGCCTGAATGTGAGACAGCCACTCCTACTTCATTAACTCAAATCAAGGAAAAGGTAATGGAACATTCTCACCGGCCCATACAACTAAGAAAAGGGGATTTTTATTCTTATCTTTCTCTCTCCTCTCATGATAGTGACTGTGGGGAGGTAACCAAATACATAGAGGAAAAGAGCAGTACTCCAGTGCCACTGGACTTTGCAGATGAGAGAGAAAACATTGAATGTTTTTTTGAAGCTTGTCCTGAGGAAGAGCGAGTTGAGCAGCAGCCACATTTCTCTTCCGCTACTCCTGAAGGATCTCTGGCAGCAGGCAAAGTCCTAGAATTATTGGCTGAACCTAAAACTTCTGCTAAATGTAGTAGCTTTTCTTTCTTAAGTAATGACATTGATGTAAATGTGCCCAATCCTGCCAACCAAAAGGTATCAAACAATTTAAAAAATATTATTGATGATTCACTGACTTTGGATAGCCATAATGAAGGCTTAGACATGAATTCTCTGCAGTTTAGCACTAAAAAAAGTAGTACAGGAAAGTCACTTGGAACTGGGAAGTCTAAAGGAAGTATTGCTGCTTCTGCAAAGGGTTCAGCTATAGGTTTTCAATTAAAGCCAGAGCACTGGAAAGATCAAGATGTATTGCACCAGGACACTGAAACACTTACTTGTGAAGAAAAACTCCTGAATCTTCACACTGAGAGGCACATTAATATGCACAGATAGAATGTAACCCTCCCGTGCACATACATTATCTCAAACAGGTATGTACTGTACAGTATGGCTTTGCATATGACTTATTTTTATATGTTTGTATAATGAAAGGGTATGAATCACCATCCGGGACTTTTGTTTTATGATAGCACCATGCTTTATATATATTTGATTGATCACAATCCCAGTTTACACACCTCTGGTCAACTAATGTATTCGAGATACTGGTTTTGCCCCTGGTTGTTGCATGGACTGAAGCTCCACTCCAGTGGAACACACAAAATCCATTGGAGTCAAAATTCTGTTCTGCTGATCTTGGAAATTCCATAGGGTTGATATTCCCAGGTAGCTCCCATTCTCCTTCTTATGCTGCTGAGCTGTCCAGCCTCGTAGAAGCTGTCTCTACTTAGGGACACCCCCTTCTCCTCTCTTCTCCACAGTCAGCTGGTCTTCTGCTATAATCAGTGACCCTCTGTTACCCAAAACATTTGGACAATCAGAAGTTTGGCAATCCCATGAAGCCTTCACAATATCAGTGTTCTACTGTGTTTGCAAATAATCTTGTGAAAACAAACCTCTGGGATAGTGGCTAACCAGATTAAATGGAGAGGTATTAACTTATCTGCTAATGTCTATATCCTATGATTCTGGATTTAAACCTGCTAAGCAATTATGAAGAAAAAGGAATGACAGGCTAAATGATTAGTGTTACCAAAATAAGAAAGCTTTACCATGAGGGTTATTGCAAATGCAAGACTAAGGTTGTACAGTAAGGACACAAAAGGTAGAGGAAGGTGAAAAGTAAAGGCTACAATAGCAATATTAATTGCTCCTTTCTGGTATATTTTATGGTGTATATTTTGGAACATAAGTAGTAGAGATGAGCCTAAGATGCGAAGTTTGGCTCCAATCTTTGCCAAAGTTTGAAGAAGTTCAGATCTGGTTTTCTGGCTCACATAAATCTCTAATGAAAAGAAATATTAAACTGCATATTTAGCCAGAAAAACAGAAATAGAAAACAGCATATGCTCTGCACCTCACCACTAATTCAAAGTGGTGCTAGAGCCAGCATAGACGGCTATGCAAGAATCACATTAGTGCAGAGGGATCTTCCAACAGTTTACAACCAGCATAGCTGCACCTATGCCACACTCAGCCCAGCTGCTTGTGCAGGGGGTGTGGCTGGGAGAAAGGAAGTGTGATCAGGGCTTTCTTACTCTTCATGGATCCCTGGCTGCCATATTGATCCTTTGAGGTCTTTGGTACACAATGACCTAGAATTGGGGAACTGCCAATTCCACCTTTGCATCCCCATTTCCGAGCTGTGCAATGTGTTCTTCAGATGTATCAAAGGAGTTGGGCCTATATATACAAAATGAGATTGTTGGTTTTGGAAGTGTAGCTTTTGCATTTCCTCAGCTAATATGACATTGCTATAGTTTTTGTCCATACTTGTATGATTCTCTGTATGCACACATATACTTTACAACAACAATTATCTGACACATCCCAAATAATATTCTCATAAGCAAAGTAAGGAAATATAGTCTTGTTGAAATTACTTTAAGGATGGGGTTAAACTGGTTGAAAGATCACACTCAGGGTAATTATCAATGGTTTGCTGTCAAACTGGGGGGACATATCTAGTGGAGTCTTGCAGGGGTCAGTCTGAGGTCCTGTATTATTCAATATTTTCTCTAATGACTTGGATAATGGACTGGAGAGTATGCTTGTAAAATTTGCGGATGACACCAAGCATGGGAGGGTTTGCTAGCACTTTGGAGGAGAGGATTAGCATTTAAAATTACCTTGACGAATTGGAATATTCATCTGAATTCAACAAGATGAAATTAAATAAAAAACAAGTGTGAAGTACTACAGTTAATAAGAAAAAAATCAAAGGCACAGATACAAAATGGGGAATAAGTGGCTAGGTAGTGGTACTGCTGAAAAGGATCTGGGGGTTATAGTGGATCACAAATTGAATAGGAGTCAACAATGGGAATGCAGTTGCAAAAAAGACTATATAATTCTGAGGTGTATTAACAGGAGCCTTAGGCTACGTCTACACTACCCACCTGAATCGGCGGGTAGAAATCGATCTCCCGTTGATCGAATGATCGCGTCTCGTCGGGACGCGACAATCGATCCCCGAATCGACGCTTGTACTCCACCAGCGCAGGTAGGAGTAAGCGCCGTCGACGGGGGAGCCGCGGAGGTCGATTTGCCGCCGTCCTCACAGCGGGGTAAGTTGGCTCAGATACATTCAGCTACACTAGTCGCACAGCTGAATTTGCATATCTTAAATCGACACACCCTCCCCCCCCGTAGTGAGGACGTAGCCTTAGTATGCAAGATATGGGAGGTAATTGTCCTGCTTTATTTAGCACTGGTGAGGCTTCAGTTGGAGTACTATGTCCTGTTCTGGGTGCCACACTTTAAGACAGAATCTTTGGAGAGAGTCCAGAGGACAGCAACAAAAGTGATAAAAGGTTTAGAAAACCTGACCTATGAAGAAAGATTTAAAAAATAGGCATGTTTAACTTTGAGAAAAGAAGACGGGGGGATGACCTGATAGTCTTCAAATATGTTAAAGGCTGTTATAAAGAGGACTGTGATCAGTTGTGCTGCATGTCTTCTGTAGGTAGAACAAGAAGTAGTCAGCTTAAACTGCAGCAAGGGAGATTTAGGTTAGATATTAGGAAAAGCTTTGTGACTATATGGATAGTTACACTGTGGAATAGGCTTCCAAGGGAGGTTGTGGAATCCCCACATGGGAGGTTTTTAAGAACAGGTTAGACAAACACCTATCAGGGATGGTCTAGATATAGATGATCCTGCCTTAGTGCAGGGGACTAGACTAGATGATCTCTCGAAGTCCCTTTCAGCCCTACATTTCCGTAATTCTGTGATCTTTATCCTGACACTTTCCTTTGCACATATGTGTGTATAATGTTGCATTATATTGGAATTGTGACATCAGAGAAAAGATGCTTGAACAGATTGTGGGTGTTCACGACCTGACAATTGCCAATTAAGCAAATACTTAAATGAAACCTTAATACACATCTACTGGCTTAGTGACACCATCCACTCCAAAATCACTGGAGAAGCAGCTGAAATTCAACTGAGAAATTACAAAAGAGATGGATGAGAGTATATGATCAAGTGCCTATATTCAGAGGACTATGTATACATGGAAGTATCTATCTGAAAAGTGAGATGAGGACAAAAGGCTCAAGTTTGTAAGTTTATACAGTAGACAAAGTAAATTTGAATTAATCTTTTGTTAGAGTTCTTAATTTCATCACTTATTTATTATTATATTAACCTGAGAAAGAGAATTACCATAGTGTGTGTGTGACTGGCCTGTTCTTCTTGCCCTCATTCTTTCACTAATGATGATAGTAATATAACTTTGCACTTCAATAGTGCTTTTCATCTGAGAATCTCAAAGCACTGCACAAACTTGCCATCCACTGTTACAGATATTACAGTTACTTACCTGGTAGCAAGCTGTGTTTTCATTAATACTAGGTTATGACAACATACAATTAATCAGGCCTGAGGACCAGAATTGAGTATAAAGAATAGAGATATTTACACACCCTCATGAAATTCAGTGAAAGGAAATGCTGAGATGATAGTTTGATGGAGTCATAGAATAATTTTTATTTTGCCTTAAGGTTACAGGCTTTTTTAAATAATAAAAAGCCCTTTTTATTACATGCTACTCTTTATTTAAGAAGCTATTTATTGTTTGTTAAATGTTAGATAGTATTGTTTCTATTAAAATTACACATAGATTTTATTATTCCTAGTTGCAATGCTGGGAATGTACCTCAAGCAAGTAAAAAAAATGAAAATCCATGCTGCCACATATGAGATCTGTGATTCACTAAAGTCTGAATTCCCTTCCCCCATTAAGAGCTTGGTGCTGTAACTTCATCTCTCATGCTATGGGGAATGAATTACAGAAGCAATCTATCCTAATTTGTTAACTTATTCAAATAACAGTTATTATACTTAACTATGCTAAAGATTATCTTTTTGGTGGCAGATTGTTTATTTTTTGATGAGCCTAATTACTGATTTTCTAAAGGTAATTTACATTTATTACTAATACATCTTTTAAAATGTGACAGATAAATGTTGTTCCCATAAGTATATTATGAAAAAAGTTACTATTTAAAAACACATTATTTAATTTGAAAGATAAATGGCAAACACCATTATTTTTTCCTGTAGCACCTGTGCTGTAAGCTCATTAAAATGTGTAATTCCAAGTGTAGCTGCAATACTAAGAGAAAAATAACCTATAGTATAGGTATACTCTAAAAATATACTTGGAATGCAAAGCTGACAAAAGGCATACTTACTGATGTAGCTTGGCTAATTTTATCTTCTTTCAGTCTATGTTTGCCTTGGCTGTATAAGAGGATAAAAGCTATAGTGGAGGAAATGTATTTTCTACCAAATGTATTTAAATTGCAATTTTGTTCTTTATCAGTTTGCTGTAAAACTGACCATTAAGGGAAAGTAACAGCAATTCTATAAGCAGCTTCAAAAATACCTCTATTAGAAATGATTATTCTACTATATGAGCCAATATACAGCAGAGGTGCTCAGAAAGTGATACTGATTTTGTTTCTCAAGGAGAGGACAGCTTGAAAGAACAGCCTTCCTGCATATGAGATCATGCAACCTTTTGCTGTCACTATGACCCATGACTCACCAATGGAATCAGGATTCATAGTCATATATTCAGTGTGTGCAGGGATCACCTTATGTGATGTTCCTAGAGTCTTTTCTGGAAAATACATTAGATTTCTGTGTGCAATCTGTTATGGTCACACGTAAGTCACAAAAGATATTTCCGTCCTATTGTATAGAACATACAATTTAAATTTCACATACGTTGGAAAAAAATTATTACTTGGTTGAAGAAAAATAAACTGGTTTTATCCCATAATCCTGCAGCGGGAGTTAAAATATCCTGCAACTGACTGTAGCCAGGAGGAACCTAGAGGGAAAGGATGGTCCTGTGGCTAAAGCACAAGATTGCTAGTCAGACTTTTTGTATGGCCTTGAGCAGATCACTCAATCCCTTTCTACCTCAGTTTCTTTAACAATGAAATATCAGGGATAATAATTGAGGGGGGAGTCCTGAGGCTTAAATCATTCCCCGAAAACTGTTTTGAGATCCACGGATAGAATGTGATATCTTAATGCAAAGTATTAGTAGTTACATAATTCTATGAAAAAAACAATATTCAAGGCCAGTGGAATACAGACACTAATGAGTAATAATTTAAATATAAAAAAATTAGGCTGCAGGAATGATCTAAACCTTTTCTTACCATTTATCTTTGCAGATTTAATAGGGCACTAGAAACAACAGTGTTTCTTTATCTTTTTTTACAACATAGTCATGATATTTTATTTCACTATAGCAGAAAATTCCACCAGAGGACTTATTTAAAATCTTAATAATACCTACATGGTAGAAATAGCTAGTTTATATTATCATCTGTGGATGTTTTGATTTTGGAAAACAGGTTAACTGTCCAACAGTGAGACTTCTCACTATAGATCTGATTAAAACCCACACCAAAGTTTTTAAAGAGCAAATTTGATATCTTCATTATTCTGCATGTTGTTTTTGCACTGATTTCATGTAATTTACTTTTTCTATAAAAATAGAGAGGTCAGTTACAGCAAATAAGATCAAAGGAGAAGGTAACTGGATAGATCCAGATATTTCTGCTTAATTTGGAAGGCATATAATGCATGTCTGGAGTGCCTCCTAGGAAATGCCTAAGAGATGTACTTTGCACTAATCTTTTAGCTGTATTCCGACAGTTATTTCTTCATAATCCTCATCATAAGCCTCTGCTCTTTGATGAATAGTTTAACCCTAAACTCCAAGCTGGATAAATTCCATAGTATGAAAAGTTAACTCATTACTGGTGCCAGAAATGTCCAAATAGTTCTGTGATACCCCTCTTCGCCTTTTATATTAAAATCTCATTGTATATACGTACATAAATTATGTGTGTCTGTTAAATATTGTGTATCCCTTTTTGTTGTTTGGCTGTGGCAGATCCATATTTTATTATTGATCGGAGCACCTTTGAGTGTGCTGAAGGTAAGTTCACAGGTAAGTATAAGGACAGGATCCAGGGAAAAGGTCAGACTTGATGATTTCCCTTGTTTGTTTTGAAACTACGTTCTTAAAAAAATCAATAAGTTTTCTACATCAGTACAAAGACATTTTTACTCTAACTTGAATCTAGGCATTTAAAAATCGTTGTTCGCATACTGTATGCCTGTGCATTTAAAGGCTTTGGCATGTAATCGTATAATGGCTATCTTCAGTTGTTCTGGAAGAGCTTGTGTTTGCAAATAAAACTGTATTTTATGTAACATACTTTCACTTTTTTTTTTCATTTCCTTTTAGAAACTTGGCTGCTGTTCAGGTGCAGGTTCATCCTGTTAACCATGGGATGACCTCCAATGCCATTGCATCATTCACTGCCTCTCGTTACACTGACTCCCAAGATACATTTTCTTTCCAAATGTGATTTGTCCATGTTGGTTTTTTGATCAGGCTACATATGCTGGTCCTAATTCAGTAATCATTTTGTCGTATAGCAAAGCCATTTGCTTTCATGTGGATTCCCCTCCCAACTACCTCTAACTACCCACCCTACCTAAATTGAATGCTTCTGTAATACTTATCACCGTTACATTCTTTAAAGTTTTGAAATTCCACAAATTCATCATGATCAGTCTGATTCATCTTTACAAAGCTGTACCGGTCAGTACTCTCTTATTTCATGTATCAAATTTAATATATATATATGTATAATGCATATTTTTGTTGAAACTATTTTGTGTTTAAAATTACAATTTTATTTGATTGCAGCAAAAGGAAAAGTCATTAGTCCTCCTAATTCAATACATCTAAAAGTTAAGCAATTAAAATCAATGCCATTTATTTCATTTTAAAATTTAATCTATGCAACACTTCAAGAAACAACTACATGGTGTTGTATATTAGGAACTGTTGACATTCTACTGAATTAAGTACAACATTTTGGGTTTTTATGCTTCTTGAGGTGGTAAAGGGAAAAAGTTTTTAAAAAGTGTGCCTTGCTGTATTTCTTATACCATTTATTAAAAAGCTGCTTTCAGAGTAAAATTATGTTGGTTTCAAAGGAGGAAATAGCAAGGTTAAGATGTGTGAATAATTTCTGTATATATGTATAACCAAGTACAAACATTGATGTATAATGACAGTATAAAATGCTTTCATGTTTGTGATGTCCAGTGATGTTGAAAATATAAGCCTTAAAACCATTAGATTGCATGATAATTAGAATTGGCATAATAAACATTGTTTATTGGGGAAAAAAAGCAAAATTGGTTATCTGTTTTACCTACGTTCGAAGAAAAAAATACTGCATCAAAATACAGAAGAGTTATTGTTTGCAATCTTTCATAGAGTCTAGAGTTTCCATATCAGTCAAGAGTTTTGGGCTACATGGCTCCAAAGTAAAGGTCATGCAAACTAAGGAGTTTCAAAATCTTTCTGGTCACACATGGAAATGCAAACATTCAGACAGATGAATCTAGTGAACTGCAACACCAGTTCCCAAAGGACAAGTATACATATATCTTAAACCTTTATTTCTTTATTATTAATAGTTTGATGTTGGATGTTAGGAAACTTTCTGTCTCTTAAAATTTCATTCATTTACATAGTCCCCTTGAATGAGCTTTGTATATATTTATATAAGCTCTTTTACAGTTAGGCTGTTTGAATAATTTAGATTATGTACATTTTAAATGTTTTTATCTTGTTCTAAAACTATATTGGGTGGCTAAAACAATGCTGAATGCTCTATCTAGTATCTCTGCAAAAATGACTCTTTCCTAAAAATCTCTATTGTAAGTGGAGGCTACATTTAATAAGCCAGAAACTGGGTCTGCTGTTTTCTATTTTATCTGTTTAATATATATATATTTTTTCTATTATGTGCGTGGGGGATTATTTTAAACAAACAAAATCCTTCAGTATTGGTTTTCTTAATAAAATCAATCAAATAAAATGCCAGTAGCCTAGCCAGAATTTAGACGACGACCTAAAATACCTCATTGGCATGTCCATGTAATAGTGGAGGAACTGGTAAGAAAACTTTCCGGTTTCAAGCTACCAAAGGCATATTTTCACTTATAATGGTGAGAAAAACATGTAGGTCCTGACTCTTATCTTTGCTAAGTCCCCTTTACAAGGCCAAAGCACTGTAAAAGAGCCTTATGTAGATGAGAATGAAGCCCTTAAAAAATTGAGAAAAATTCCTTGCAATTGCCTTTTTGAATCTATGACGTGTTCTCCACTTGCATATTCTCACTGTTACAGTCCAGAACTGTGTTTAAGTTAAACCCAAGCCACACTGAAGGTCTGAATCACTCTTTACAGAGTATTAGAAAATGTCAAATAATTTCTAGGTGCAATTTCTCATAAAATCATACAGAGTTTAGCCAGTCTATTTTTTTTAATTAAAATTATTAATTTTTAGTGATTTATCATGGTTAATTTTTACATGGGAATTGAGTTTTGAAGTATATCTTGGTCTGTCTTAGCACTTTGTTTTTAACCTAACTCACTCTGACTGCAATCATATCTTGATGATGAGAACAGAACTCGTAAGTTAGAGGCTTTTCATGTCTGTCAGCTCAGCCAACAAACTGCAGAACTCCATCAGTTATTGTACCGTGCTTCTGCTTTATTAGGTCAGTGGCCACTTACTGGTTTTTCTAAGTGAAAATAATAGTATAATCACACCATAAAGACAATGATTCATAATACAGTATTTGGAATAGTATATGGTCACAATTCAAACTTGTAAGGCTATGTGGCTCAATCCTGAGAGATGGAGAACACCTTGACTTAACTAGTGTTTGCAGAACTATATTATTTGATCTCAGGAGACAAAGTACAGTATCATTTTTATAACTGTGATTCAAGGCCATTCATTATCAAATATTCTTTACTAGCATGGTTATAAGCTCTATATTTTCTTATTTTTCTTCTCACAGAGAGCATATTGGATTTTGATGTCAATATAAATTGATTTCTGAAAGAAAACAAATCTCTGGCATGCACTATACAGCATTCACTTATGTCATATAAAAGCCATATGCTTAGAGCCAAATTGTGTCTAGAGCTTGGAAATAGTTATAATGCCCGCTCCCTAAAAGAATTGCAAAAGTGGCATTAATATAGCTCATATCCTGTCTAACACCAACCCATACACAGCCCCCTCACATTCTTTTTCAATTAGGTGAAAATCACCTATGTGCAGGAGACTTGCACAAATCCCTTGGCCCACTTAACCCTACATAGGGGGTGTATGGAGTTTTTGCCTGTGCACTGTCCGTACGCTGAAGAAAGGGTCTGCATACTGGCTGCACATTGACTATAAGAAAGGCCCCCCAACAATAGCTTCTGCAGGTAGTGAGGAGACAGCGCAGCAGCCCATGCCCTGCAACTTGGATTTCATCTCCCTAAGCGCTTCACATTCCACCCACCTAGAGTCCGAATAGTCTGGCTTTATGCAGATAGAATGAATGGCACCCACTAAGAGTAGGAATAATATGCACAGTGGAACTGTGATCCAGGGGGCATTTCTGGAAGATATGCTCTATCAAAGCAGCTGTATATACATACACGTGGACATAAACTTTGCATCGTATCCCTGACCCCACTGGTCACAGGATGTTGTGCCTTTCTATCAGGTAAGTCAAAGAAGGCCATGTGGAATAGTGTCTTTTTATAGGATGAAGAATCCAGGTGGCAAACTCCACTCTGTGCTCCTACTGCTTACCATAGTTTTCCTGATATAGAGGTACATGTATGCAGACAGCCAGAATCTGGCCCCTCAAATGCTGTTTGAATTTCAAACATTAAATTCACACTGATGCCATAGACCTTGATGTGATACAGTTGTTTAATCTAGTCTATATATTGAAAATTCTTAAATGCCTGTGTCAGAAAAAAAAAAGCCTCACAAACCTGGAAAGTCATGAAAAGTAGTCCCCACAAACTACTAATCTAAACTTTCAAAATACTGTCCGGGTTATAAGCAGTAAATATACTCTATATTGTACTATTACACACTAAGATAGCGATAGGCTTCCATCCCTGTGCCTGGGAGTTACTGCATGCATACCATTAAGAACCAAGTGCATACCTATTCCACAGTCCTTAATCGAGGTCCCTGATTTACATTTAATTCAAATCTCCACTGAAGTCCTTAGTGTTGGACTGTAAAAGAGGACAGACTTTTTCCTACTGACTCTACTTTACAAATCTCATATAGTAGCATAAATGTTCACAACACTGTTCCCGTTATTTGCTTCACAGTAAATGAAAATGTGCCTCAATCTTTTTCCTTCAGAATGATGGACAGGAGTAGATTAATAGATGTCAAGACTAGAGAGGGACAATTAGATCATCTAGTCTGACCTCCTGTATAGCACAGCCCATAGAATTTCACCCAGTTACTCCTGCAATGAGCCCAATAACCTGTGTTTGACTAAAGCTTACCTTCTAGAAAGGCATCCAGTCTTGATTTAAGATATCAAAAATTGTGCTGGAGAGGTCTGAGTGCCAAGGGCTTATTATCCCCAGGTTTGGACAGTTTCTACAAATTTATTCCTAATAATAGTATTTCTTTAAAAGGGGTTTTGTACAATTGGTGGCAACTGATCTATTGCCTCCAGAGCAGTGTATCTAACTTCTCAGGCTCACTCTATCAACACCAGTTGTTTACATTTGTCATATAACGATTAATTATTTGTTCAGAATGCATCTATTCAACTCTGATTCAATAAAACATTTTCAAGGAGCAGATCATAAATCTACTGTGCACCAAATTGCATCATGCATGGGATTAGTTATTGTTAGTACAATGCTTTGAAAATGTAAATTCTTATAAAATGGTAAGTATTAATTTATTCCCAGACAAAAAACTCTGTTTTCATGGAGTTAAGGTTAAGAGTATGTATCCGTAATTTAAGGGTGAAAACGTTAGAGGGATGTTGTAATTATCCCAAAAGTAAGCATGAGAACCTCAGGAAATTCCACGTTAAAGTCATATTTAAAAGAAATCCAAACATGTTAAGGTAAGGAAATGTACATTTAAAGCACACAAATAACCTTAACTTTGCCCTTTAGTGATGTCATATAATAACTGTAACTTTATAATTATGGCATTTGAGTGTTTATGGACTTAGATTAGAGTGATTTTTAATAGCATATGTAATTCCCTCTCTCCCCCCCCCCCGCCCCAATAACATCACCACAGGGCAGAATTAAGGTTATTTGGTTGCCTTAACTGTGCATTTCCATACTTTAACATCTTTGGATTTCTTTTGTGTGTAAACTTAACTCTGAATTTCTTGGGTTTCTAATGTTAGTTTTGGTTTAATATACCATATCCATCTATTTTTTAAAAAATCTTTAAGATACTGTTATATATTCTCAACCTTAACTAATTTTTAACATGGTAGGGGAGTTGGCTTGGAATTTAGTTTTTTTTAAAATGATTAAAAATGAACACTAAAAAAGACCAAACCCGCAAAAGAGAATGCTACCATGCACTATTTATAATGATGATATGTAGCCATCTTATTCAGTCATTGTCAGTCTACTGCTTCCTCCATTGGGCACTATTTTGATATGTAGTATCAGCCTTAAAACATTTTTTTAAATTTTGACTTTTGAGGGCAGATTCACAGTAGACTAAAGCAGCCAAAGTGTACTGATGACTGTAGTCCTAAATATGGAGTGGACCTATTGAGCTGGTGTGCTGTATTAATGAGATCAGTACTATGTGAAGGGATGCAAGCATAGTCCAGTCCCTGAGTCTCAAAGTCTTTGCCCTTTAAGGGCTCTCTCTGTGCTGCTCAATTCCTCCAGCAGTGCTGTGGAGCCAGGGCAACAGTGCAATCGGAAGCCTTTCAAACACTGATGACCAAACTAGTATCTGGCCATGGAATCTTTAATTAACAGTGACAGTTTGGGTCCAGTGATTTACCAATGAGAACTCTTGACGTATGTCCAGTCTCCTTCATACCACTAAGTCATTACACCCAACAAAATGTTCCATGCAAATTAGCTCATAGACTCGAAGGCCTGATCATCTAGTCTGACATCCAGCACACTGCAGGCCACAGACCTCACCCACCCACCCACTAGCTGTAGAAGAATGTCGGTCATTGGTTGTTACCACTGATGCCACAATTGTCACTTGAGTTATTTAAGCCATTAACCTGAGTCTGTCTGTAGGGCCATAGCAATTAGACACAACAATCATTAGATGAATTACAATCTAATTTCTTCAAATTAA